GGTGAAAGATCTATGGAGCTGACACTTGAACAACATGAGAATTGGGGGTGCTAACTCCCCACCACATAGTTGAAAATCTGCATATAACTTTTGACTCCCCCCAAAATTGACTGCTAATAGCCTACTGTTGCTCAGAAGCCTTACTGATAACATAAATAGTTAATTAACACATATTCTGTATGTTATATGCATTATATACTGTATTCTTAATAAAGTAATCCAGAGGGGGAAAATGTTATTAAAAACATGAGAGTCTTTCTGCACTACCCCAAGAAGGGTCCATACAGTGTTGTTCTGCATTCCTGTCATAACTTAAAGGGAAACTTTCACAATGTCTAGAACTCTTGATGTCCTGCAAATGAAAGAAGAGGATGGCCTCAAATTCCTGGTACCAGGAACCCACTTGGGTGGCACTAACCTTGACTTCAATGGAACAGTACATCCACAGAAGGAAAAGTGATAGCATTTACATCCTAAATCTGAAGAGAACCTGTAAGAAGCTTTTGCTGTCAGCTCCTGTCATTATTGCCATTGAAAACCCGGCTGATGTCAGCATCATATCATCCAGGAATACTGGACAAACTCATAGAAACAGAGAGTAAAATCATGGTTGCCAGGGGCACTGTGGGGAAAATGGAGACAGCATAAAAAAGATACAAAGTTTCAGTTATAAGATTAATAAATTCTGGAGATCTAATGTATAATGTGATGACTATAGTTGATAATACTGTATTGTATAATTGAAATTTGCTGTGAGTTTATATATTAAGCGTTCTCACACACAAAAATGTAAACTATGTGAGGTGATGGATGTATTAATTAACTTGATTGGGGAAATCCTTTTACAATGTATGCATATATGAAATCATCACATTCTACACTTTAAAGATACTATAATTTTATTTGTCAATTTTACCTCAATAAAACTGGAAAAAATGTAGAAATATTGTCACTTTGGTTATGTATTTAACTTCATTTACTTCTGGCTTATTTTATTCTGATTAGTCTAGTTATCAATGGGTAAATCACCACCATATTAGGCTACACTGAAGTGTTATTTTTTGGAGTAAGTAGGATGTCCTATTGCTGTAGGAAAAAAAATTATCCAATACATCCATCAGCATGCTGAGAACATATTTTTAGTGGTATTTGGTTATTAGTCAGAATTCACATGATTCCAGAATTGTAACAGGAAACTGTGACAATCAGCTTATTACCATATGCTTATGATCCCAAAACTATTAGTTATTAGTTTGTAGTTTTATTTACAAATATTCAGCTAAGTAAAGGCATAGTAAGTGTGGTTAACTAATTACTAACAGTTTGTAGAAAATTCAGTGTTTCTTTTGATTCAAATATTTGGAAAACTTTAATAGATGTAAATTATTTTTCTTTTTGTTTTATATAGTCAATATTAATTAAGCATGCTAATATCTTTTCTTCTTAGATAATCATTTTGGAATATATAATTGGCTAATTGTTTTTATTAAAGAGATAGCTTTATAATGTTTGCTATGATAAAGCCATCATTAAGTAGACACCACCACCTTTCCTTTGCAGATGGCCTTAGTTTTACAATCTCCTCAAACAGCATCACCTCACAAATTTAATTTTGATGCCAGCCTGGCCTGTATAAAGCCATTCAGGAATATATTTTTTTTAATTATATTTTATTATGTTATGTTAATCACCCTACATTACACCATTAGTTTTTGATGTAGTTCGTGATTCACTGTTCGTGTATAACACCCAGTTCTCCATTCAATACCTGCCCTCTTTAATACCCATCACCAGGCTAACCTCTCCCCCCACCCCCTCCCCTCTAGAACCCTATGGACTCTGAGAAATACAACACATTCTTAAGGGAAGAACAACATATGATACCTGGAGCTCAGCATCCGCTGCAGGTTTCTGGGCCCCCAGAGTAAAATGGCCTCCCTCTATGATTGTGTTGGTAAGCTGCAGTTTGGAGGCTGCTTTCCTACAGACTATTTCCTCCACAGTGTCTCGGCCAATCAGCCGAATAACTTTAACAGACCTGTACAGAGTCAAAAGAGAGGAGTGTGCTGTGAGGGTCTGCAGAGATGAACACAAGCATACAAGGTTGATATACCTAAAAGGAAACAAACCCAAAATGCTACATTCAGGGTACAACTAAAGGGAGACTGGACTATGCAGACCTAAGCATTTGTTAGAGAGATCTGGCCCCACAGAAGCTTTCCAAGAGAGTCAAGGAAGGGATGAGGAGGGGCCATAAACTAGGGTTTCTGATGGGAACAGGAGGAAAACCTCTGGTAGATCTCAATTATCCTCTGGTCAAAGGGTAAGGCCCATCTCTTTAGCTTTTTAATGAAGCAAGTCTGGAATGAGAATGCGTGTTGGCCAGCAGCCTTCGAAGAGTCAGCAGCAAAGCTGGGCTAAAACCCAGTGCTCTCTGGCCCTCCAGTCTGGGATGCCACAGGACCAGCTTCTTCACCTTCCCTCCCCACCCAGAACTGCTGAGGAGCCCCAGATGTGGAAGAACGCTGGTGCTGAACTCTCTCACTTGTTCTGGCCAATTCGATGAGCCCTGGCAGCTGCCTGCAAGTCATTCTGCGGATTGAAATCACTGTCGACAAAAATAACGGTATCTGCAGCCGTTAAGTTCATGCCAACTCCTCCTGAAAACAATGCAAAAGGAACGTGATCAGCAGCACTCCGGCTAGGGCTAGAAGAGAAAGACACAAGGCTACAGCGGTATGATTGGTAAATTAAGATCAGTCAAAACAGTTGGCCTCACCCTTCAAAATGACACTCCATCCCCAACTCCAGGACCTTGGAGTGGTTAACAGTGCTACCCGGGCTCATATTGCCTGACTTGGGAAAATTTAACGACCAAAAGTAACAGAATGAGAGGAGGAGGGGCAAGGAGCCAAAGTGCAAGCTGAAGTTAGTGCCAGGAATCCATTTTAAATGGTTTGATTGGTTTGTTTAGAATGCTCTAAAAGGATGCATGCTCTTTCAAAAGAAAACAGTCTTAAATATGCAAGAGGCCTTCTGCTGTGGGCGCTGTTAAGAGAGGAGTTAACATCCACAGCAGGTTACAACTAAGGCAGCAAGGTCCCTGATAGAGGCTAATGAGAACAGAGGATGACATTTATTTATTACACTCCTAAGCAGAGCAGGAAACTACCTCCCTCTGACAGGAGAAACCTCAGAAAGCCTTTTCTGTGTTTCCACATGAATCAAAGAGAAGCTAACAAAACCAACCATAGGACAAGAACACTACATGGGACAACTTTCTCATCCTTCTTCAGCATAGCAAAAGGGCTGAGGAGGCTCTTTGGATGATGAGAATTAATTAAGAGAACCATGAAAGCAAATTACAGCCTTGTCTTTGATTAATGTGGAAACAAGTACAAAAGGGACTTCCTCTTGCCAGGGTCGTTACAGCTCATTGCTGAGACAAGCAAGCCTGAAAAGGCTTGTTCAAAGAGCCTGAATTAAGGACTAACCTTTGAGATGGGCTACTGACTCTAACCTGGCTCTCAAGACAAGTCAGGCAGGAATATTCTAATTAAAGACTTCATATAAAATTAAAGTTGGAATAAAGAGATAATAAAGACTGATTACTGAGAGGTGCTAAATTATACCTGACAATAATGCCTGCTTGTGCTGTGCTTACTACGTGCCAGGCACTGTTCTACGCACTTCACATATATCGACCCCCTTAATCCTGACAACAACCTTATGAGTAGTTTGTTATTATTATGGGCATTTTATAGATAGAAGAACAGAAAAGCCAAAGGACTTATTAGAGATCACACAGCTAGAAAGTGAAAGAGCCAGGAGTCAGTCCCACACTGTCTGGCTCCAGAGACTCTGCTTTTACCCACTGCACCACAATTATCGCCCAGGTACTTATTTCATTAAAGTGTGCTCCATAAAAATTATCATCTTCTTCCAGGGTTAATGTCTCAGTTCAGCTCTTCTTCATTAAGGGGTGATGTCTTACAAATAAGCTATTCTCCAGTCTTGTTTGGGACATATCATGAGCTATCACTGCCACCTGGTGGCAATACGCTTCAATCACAGAAACATTTGAAAGTTGGAGGGAAACCTGTTAAATGAAATGATAGTACTACGAATCTACAGCTAAAAAGTAAGGGCAAACATGACCGTTAGTGTTTGGAAAAGGCTCATGTCCAGGACTGCTTCAGTTCTCAAAAGATTACCCTGTGCTGATTCTGCTTCTGAGTACTCCAAAGGGCTGACTCTTTCTTCCTAATTTTAGACCTTTCAAACATAACGCTACTCTCTGAATATGATGAACTCTAGGTCTGACCTAGAGTTCAGAATCATGATTTTAAAGATACTAGCTGGGCTTGAAAAAAGCATGGAAGTTAGTAGAGAAATGCTTTCTGGAGAAATAAAAAAACTAAAATCTAACCAAGTCGAAATCAAAAAGGCTATTAATGAGGTGCAATAAAAAATGGGGGCACTAACTGCTAGGATAAATGAGGCAGAAGAG